CGATAAATAAAACCTGTAAAAATTGAAAATATGATATAAATAATGAAAGAAGTTAATAAATGCCTAAATTATATATACCGAATAATGAATCATACGATAAATCCCCGCGAAGATTGGAAAGTTAATGACGGGGCATTTCATCTTTCCCACAAATAACCCTGAAATATGGGAGATATTTTAATTTCTCCGGGAACGCACACACACACACACATTGAAAGAACAGGGTTTACGGATGCACATCGAGATACATTCGAGCACAAGCAACGAAAACTGCCGGAGACGCGCCGACGACTCCTTTTGTCTCAGAGATTAGAAGTACGGATCCAGCGACCGGATGCTTTTTTTCATAATCCCTCGAAACTGGAGATGAGTGGCACGGGGGTGGTCTTTTTCAACCTCGTGCCTAAATATACACCGTATCCCCCGCGTGCTTCCGAAATGCGGTGCAAGGGATGCGTCGTAAAAACACCGGACGGAAATAGCCGGCGAAAAATCGAGCGGGCGCCACAACGCGTCGCGCCGACAGTTGCGAGGAGACGCGACGGGCGGTCTAGGACCTTCGAAGATCGCCTTTATAGTCCCGGCGCATTTTAATGCCAATGTCGACGTCCGTGGACGTAACTGCTCGCGGTCTTAAAAGAGGTTCATTGTACCTTTTCAGTATAGGTTTGCTTCAGGGACGGCGGAACGTTTCTTTTCAAGAGGCGGAAGGTACCAATAGAGAAAAGTGAATCGATGTAAATAATAGCGGTATTTTCTACATACGTAAATAATATCATAATGTTATAATTTATATACAGGAATCAATTTTTCGGAATCACATACCAAATTTTATAAAAGACAATTAGAATTTTTAGTACTATTGGTATATAAATATATTGAATCTATATATTATATTTTTTCTTAAGGCAATAATTGAGAATGAAACTGATCGTTTGTAGCCTTCGGAATAGCTGCTAGATAAATTATCACGTGGATGATAACGGGATAATTCATTGAGATGATAGTGGTAGATATTTCTCCCTTGCTATCGGTCATCAGTTAATCGACATTAAGTGTCTATTAAGTAATTCAGGCGATCAGTCAAGAAGGGAGATATGCCTTGTCTTGTAATGCCAATGGAGTTTTTTTTTGATAGGCCGTTGTTGCGAATGCCGATAATTTTTATTACATCGCGTTGTCATCCATTAACAATAAGATGTTCACAAATATAAATCGATCAAGATTATTTTTGTAAAAGAATTTAACTTATATATTCGTTTTTCTCTCCTTTTTCACTAACACCGTTTTTATCGTGAATATTCACTGCGAAACATTTATCGTCGATCTATCATTTCTCTGACCTTAACGGCGACACGCGAATCACTTCCTGGCGAGTACAATACTTCGCGACGTGTCGTTGGCAGCCACATAAAGACTGGCGAAAGCACGTTCGCACGATTTTACATACTTGTTCGCGCGTGCGACGCTTTGGAGGCATCTTACAGCGCGCGTGTAGAACACACGATGATTCACGACGCTTTTGTGCCGGGCGAGGTCTTACTGGTTAGGAGTACAAACGGTCGAGGTTTATTAACCTCCGGCGCGCAGGAACGACAGGATCGCGAACAATCCTATAGCGGGGTATCTCTTCGCAAAGAATTTCGTCACAGTTATAAGAACGGCCGGCTGTAAAGTAATTAATTTTGTTCAGGAATCTAAATTGTGCGCGAGTCAATTTCAATTGTATACAACACGTAATCCTCTCGGTAACGTGATTGCTCGCTAGAATTTATAAAACCGTTATATAGGTAGTATATAGGTAGTTATGCGTGTTGAATATACATTTAATTGGTAAACGTTAACATCAAAAATTTTTTTCCTCTCAGCATTTATTTTTTAATCTTGAATTATTAATGGTTAATATTGAAGTTAGTATAATTAGTCGTAATCTTAATCGATTCGCAATCCTTAATAGTTTTGTAGTGTGCAATTCTACACGTAAATTACTCACGTAATAATCAACAGCTTCGTTATCACGACGGTGTCTATACAGCGCAATAGATATAATAATTTTAATTAGATTAGATCATGCTGTGCGTGGTCGCGCTTTCGATAGCGCGTTCGCCGCTTCATTTCGCCGCGCCGCGAACAGCCATAAATTTCCGCAACGGTTTATCGCGTAAGCCCTGGCCCCGGCCGGAGACTAAATTAAGTTACGGGGTTATGAGTAATGGTTACTTGCGCTCTCGTTGGTTACGTCTCATTGGTTTCCTTCTTCCTTCCACACCGCGTGCAGCGTTACGCTTTAACTCGTATGCGTTCCCCCTCGAGCGCAATGAAACGCCTCGCACAACCGCTCCAATTTACAAACATAGAATGTGCAGCAGCCATTTTCATTAGGCATATTGGTCCGTGGTAGGCGACGACGATACCGAGAGGGGTCAGGGGCCACGTAATGTGACATCCTGCCGTCGCTTCATCTGCCGACCGTATTACCATATGCGCCACTTCTCGTCTTTTATAAGCGCGACTCTTCCTCTCACCAGTGATGCTCAACGCAGTATCGAAAGGCTTGAGATCGGATTGCGATTGGATGGTACAGTTAAAAGAAAAAAAGTATTGCTATATAATGTCAGTCGAGCAGATAAACGTAATATATTACTGACATTTTTCAGTATCTAGTACACGAAGAAGAAACAAAATAGTAATTAAATACTTCGAGGACGACTTTTATCGGGAATCAACTTTTTTTATGAATCCCCTATCCTTTTGGTTAATTTTTCAGCTCGCCTATACGGATGATTAAAGACAGGTACACTAATGTAAGAGAGAAATGACTCCTCTTGCTTTAGAGAGTGGTTTCTTTCATCATCAAAATTTTCAAAAGATGGCTTATTTTATCTCTTTTACTTTCTAAATACGCACACAGCTTATCTTAAGTATAAAAAAATGCATTCGTATTGCTTTCATTCCCGAGTTTGATCGTACATTTCCCTGATGAACATTCTCGTCATCATTTAAGAGTCCTCGACAAAATGATCCGGTTGTTGAATTGTCATTATCGTCGTTCGTATTCAGTCGTAACTGCCTGTTGGCGGACTCGTCTAATCTCTATATTATCCCTCGGGAGGTATCGAGACAGGCCGACGAAACAACCGGATGCCGTTAGATGTGATTTTTATGAGTGTGCGTCGAGGAGCGCGCGCGTAAACAGCTCCGCAACCTTATGGCGTCCACGTGCAGACGAGAAATACGTTTTCACGGGGTTCCCTAAAACCTGTCCGCGTAAAATGCGCGTCGTGATCTCGTTTTAACCGGAGGTTTTTCGTAGAAGGCTTGATTTCGATCTCGCGTTAAAGATGCGTGAAAATAGCCGACGATTTAAGCAATCTGAGAACTTTACAACACAATTAATTGATTGCCGTTGGGCAAAAAATAAAGTTTGACAGACCAGACTATAAAAATTTGCCTCCAAATGTTTAGAATCTTTCTCTTCCTACTGAAAGAAATTGAAATATAGATATCGAAGGTAGAAAACTAAAAAGGCTCGCTACAAAGACTCCGTAAATATAAGATAGAATTATATTGATTAATTATTTATTAATAATTGAGATAATAACATTTTTTGCAAATTATGTAATAATTTTATAAATCTATCACTGAAGAATAAGAATTATTGGTAACAAGGAATTAGCCGCGTGAACGTGACATCGAAACTCGATGCGTCGCACGTGAGCGGACGCACGCTGCGCGCTGCCTGCGCGCAAGGCGCGATGTTTGCACGGACGAAATATGATTTTGTTTAAACAAGTCGGGGACTTTCTAGCGGGGCTGACTGTTCCAGGTCGTACTGCGCGGTCGCTTCTTTTTCCAACGTAACCCAAATACCTCTCAGCAAGTCATCTCGCGTCAACTCTGTTTGAGCAGCGGAGGAAGTTCAACGAACTGTCATTAAAACGAGCACCCAGTTAGCTGACACGGTCGTTTGAGCAGATGTTCGGCGGAAAACGAGCGTTGAGCAAACGGAAAGAGATTAAAGGGATGAAATAACACTATCGTCAGTGATATATGTGCTGATTGTAGTCAAATTGGAGGCAAGAAAAGCAGAGCGTTCCGAAGAAAAGCAAAGCGAAGAGTCAGTTACTGTTACTAATATTTTTTCTCTTATTTTGATATTATTTAACTCCTGCCTTAAAAAAATAATGGAAGATTCATGACTATAAAATTTGTAATATTTAAAAGTGTAATTTATCAATTACTTGTAGAAGTTAAAAAAAAAATATGAATATTTTATATCTCTTTTGTTTAATTCATATTGCGATCAGATTTCTTTGCTGTCCATCATCGCCGTTCCCCGTTGATATTTGACATATATACAAGGGCGTGCGCATCCCGAATCTCTTTTTAGCTGCTCACTCATCTAAATCAATAACGTGATATATTGCATTAAGGCCTTTTTTCTCGGGGGATGACGGTCATCAGATGCCATCTGGCCATTTCAATGCTCGCGGTAAATCCAGGATTTTGATGCCGCGTCAAGTCTCGCATCTGAATAACGTATAAGTATGTGTGCGCATGATGTAAGAGGAGACGACACGTATGTATGAGAAAGTGTTGAATAGCGTGAAATGAAATATCGTGTTTTACGCGCGTATACTCCAGGCGACAGAAATAAAATATCGACATTTGTTATAAGCGTCGTGAAACATTGATGCATACGTGACACACTTTAAATTGTGAGTATTATGAATCGTAATCCAGGACGCCCTAAATTATGCCATTATGATATTAGAAGAAATACTTATGATTTAATAAATTAAAATTTTAAGGGAGAGAGCAAGAAAGAGGGCAATTTACTTCAAGAAATTTAAGAATTGAAAAGTAATCAAGGTTCTCTTAGATCAATTAAATTAGTAAAAACGCGTGCGCGCGATTCGTCTTCCTATCATTCTCTCTACCAAATTGTCATATCTCTGTCCCGCATCAGATGATGCAAAGTGATTTTTTTCTGCTTCCAGCATGCGAACAACGTGCGGAAATATGCGACGGACTACGTGGTCCGGCGTCAGGCCCGCAAGATGCCGATGACACGCTCGATAACTTCCCTGGCGCTGCCGATGAGCCAGGTGGGCGACGTGCCCTACCTGCCCAACGCCAAGGCCGGCACCTTCTTCGCCCGCGACAACGTCTCGAACTTCATCGATTGGTGCCGCAACAGCCTCGGCATCATCGAGTGCCTACTCTTCGAGACCGAGGATCTGATAATGCGTAAGAATGAGCGACACGTAATATTATGCCTGCTGGAGGTGGCGCGTCGCGGCGCCAAGTTCGGTATGCTCGCGCCGTTGCTCGTGCAGATGGAGAGGCAGATCGACCGCGAGATCGCCGCCGAGAACAAAGCGGCGAACGGCGCCGGCAACGAGGAGAGCGATGACGAGTACGAGGAGGAACCCTGCCTCATATACGGGCCGCAGCCGCAGATCGTCACGAACGATCTCAAGACTCTCCACGAGTTGGTGAGTGAAAATATGATCTTGGTACATACTTGGAATAAATATATAGATCTCGACGCGAGGAGTGACGTTTTTACGCCTCCGTTGATGGCCGGATGTTAGGGTACACGCGGTGAAAAAACTCAGCATTTATAAAAGAGCAAGAATTTTTTACTTAACTTATAGCGAATTCGGTTGGACGCACTAGTGGGCGCTAGAGCGTCCGATCGAATTCGCTATTAGTTCTCTCTCATACTATGAATTTTCTGAATTCGATCCCTTTTATTCTCAAAGCATCGCTTCGAAGTCCGGAATAACGATCATCGTGTTTGCGATGCTTCTCGGATCTCTCGGTAGCTTGGAAGTTTCTCAACGATTCATGGCGCCGATTCTGATGGCTCACCGATTAAATCCCGACGGCTTTGAACGTATTCGAATCGCGGGTTTCGTCGCGTATCATTGCCAACGACGACCGTAACGTGCCGCGGCTATGAAAATAACTCCGCAACCCATCCGGATGTATTTATGGCGGTCCTAACTCGCCAACGTCGAGTCGTGAATATCGCGCGATCGGAAATAAGAGAAGAGATATCGCGATGCTTAAATTTAATGGAGTGTCAATAGTTTCGCTCGTTCGGTATCAGGTACCGCAAGATCGATACCACACTTTGCGGTGATATCGTAAAAAGGATAGTCAAGAAGGATGCAATGGTTTCTACAATTTAGCGTAATCCTGCGACTGTCGTATTTAACCCTAGAATCCATGTATCATTTTTTTGACCTTCTAATCCATGACTGGGGGCAATATCGACCCCACGCTTTATTTGATCGTAAAACCGGTCCTACAGAAATAAAGGGTCTTTAAACCTACATGAATTTCTTCGTTTTTTAATAACAAAGAGAATGGTATACGGTAAATTTAATTTTACTCAAGTTTAGTTAGTGAAAAAAGCCATTTAAAGACCGAAAAATGCAGAAAATCAGCAAAAACCTCTTTTTTTAAAGTTTGCCTGGGGTCGAAATCGACCCCTCTCATGGATTCTAGGGTTAAACAAATTTCACACTTCAAAATTACAATGATCTTGATACCAATTATTTTTTATCGTTAATTTTGTGTTTTGATTGCGGCAACAATATCACGTAGAAAAAAGAGTTATTGTGTTCTTAAGTAAGGAAATGAGTCAACTTTTTAAACCATTTTAGATTGCAGTGTCCACGTCTTGCTTTTCTAGATTCTTTTTCCTTTTTTTCGCGCGCATGTACACGTCTTGGCAAAGAAAGGACGAAGCCGTCGACCGCTCCCACCGTATGCGCGCGACCTATTCGAGATTTTATTGTCGGCTGCTTATTATAAATTAACAGGTAACGATGACGCGCGCGCATGGCGCGTTAAATGTCTCGTCGTGCACGCGAATCGCGTTGACGGCCCGGCGTCGCGATAACGCCATTTCTTCGACGTTAATTGCACTGCCGCTGGCGGAGAACGCGACACATTGGCCGATACCTCTCCGCGACGATGGAAACATAATATTCTCTATATTTCACGGGCTTGTCGACCGGCTGTTCCGTATCTTCTTTACACTTCCGTCGTAGACATCACGATATCATCAAACAATGACATAACTAAAGAGAGGGCCTCTCCCCCTCGCCCTTCCTTCCGCGGACGAATTTTAGGGAGAACTGCGATCTTTATCTTTGGCAACAATTTCTATTATTTACTGCACCGCACAGTATCTACAAGGTTCGAAATAAAAGAAACGAGAGAAATTGTTAATTGAAAATATTTAATATAACATTTAAAGTTATTGTGCTACTTACGTCGATTATTACTTGTAATTTGACTGGTAATTTATTACCGAGCAAATCACTCAATAAATTATGTTTGATTATTGTATGATTGTCTATTAATGTAGCTTCATGTTATTTTTACAATTAAAGGGCAGTGCAGTATATAATAATGATAATAATTTTGCTCGACCGAGAGACCGGCTTGTATCGACTAAAAATGTCGGATTAGCCGACTCGCGAGTGTGTCTAACGGCGGCGATTACCGGCGGCGATACACGCGACCGGCATACGTGTTTGCGAGGCTAAATCGCGGCATTTCACGAAGCGGAATAATTCCTTCCCCAGGGCTTACAGCGCCGCGGCCGGGCGATAACGTCGCGGCTTTGCCGCATACAGGAATTCCAGGACGCTTTCCCGCGATGTCGTGGCACCAAACGCTCGTGGCGTATGTACCTTGTAGAAGGTTTACGATCGCTTTATCTTTCGAAAGAAAATTTCGACGTAATCGTAGAATGTTACGATAAATCTGCTCGTTGTAATAAATCTTTCCTTTTTACGGGAACAGGAAGAGAGGGCTGTCGTATCGTTGTACTACTTAAGTGCATGAAGTGAAAGATACGCCACACGGCAGGGTGAAAATGATGCAGGGAATGAATCGATGTCGCCTCAATATTGAAATCAAATACAAGAATTCCAATGTTTCTTTCACCGCTTCCTTATTGGAATAACTCTATTAAACCGCAGACTTTACAGTTAATACAAGAGACACAGGCATTTTTAAGTAATGACATCACGTTATTAATGTAGAAATTAATATTTTTAAGAAAGATCCTCAGAAGGTTTTTAGCAGTGAAAAATTAATAGTGACAGAGTGTGAATTAAAAATTATTTTTCAACGAAATATAAACATAATATAAAGTGGTAATAATTCTTAAAAGCATCACAAGTAAGTAATATGCTTCGAGAAAATAGTTGCATGATGTTATTAGAACAGTATGACATGATAATACGCATCGCACAATCTCTGGTGATACGAACGATAAAATAATTATATGTAGCAAGATACCAAGCGGGAAGTTGAGGCGACATCGATACTTGGATAGTATCGTAACAGCATTAACATCCCTAGTAGATAGAGTAAGCGCTGTAAGCGTTAGCGGTTGCATAGTAGAGCCGAACGCGCGCGTGTTACCGCCGTAAATCTCGTGGGAGCGTCATTACGGCCGCCTTTCGAGCGTATTGTGCGTCGATTTTCGCGATCAGTCGCCGATATCGCCGGATAAATTTCACTTTGCGCCGCGGGGAGGCCGAGCGACGCCGCGCGCGTCGGCTTTAAGTAGTAATACACTGTGAAAGCGTTGCCCTCCGATTCCAATAAAGTAGAGGCGAGCTGAGAGGCGAGCTGAAGCCGGCTTTGTCGGGCTCCGTAATTAGCAGAAATATTTACCGCGTCCTAGCTGCGAAAGTAACGAAATATGCCAGGACGTGGGTTCTCCATTGTCGCCAAGTAAATTAATTTTGGGTCACAATAAAATTCCTTCCTGATTTTTACATGGACTGAGTTCTTAATTCTTAATTATATATAAATATAAGATGTAGGGGGATAAAGAGAGAAAGATTCACGATTTGAAACAATTCAGCGTGAAGTAGTTTGAACAATATTGATTTTAATTTTAATTTCTTTTAATCGTCTTTTTTTGGATTGTAAAAATGTAAAGAATTAACATTTTTACACCATGTCACGGATCTTGCTCATTAGAGTCGGCCCTGAGCTGAGAACATGTTGAATCGCGATTGAATCGAAAGGACGATTACGTCGTCTCGTGTCAAGTGTCGGAGTGTTCAAAGCGGCAACTCGCCGCTTTATTGATAATTAATCTAATCTCTCTTTGCGCCGCAAGACACAACAACGCGAAGGTGCATTCTCCGGAGCGTTCGCTTTCGCATTAAAGCCTTTCCTCGCGGCGATGCAGCGGCGGCGCGGCGATGATTCAAGGAGAGAGAAGAAAACGAGTGGAGCCGTGGAGTAAGAGCGTGTTTTACGCTGTCCATCGATTAGACTCACTCTTGTCACGCGTATTATCTTATCGTGAGCGTTACGACTTTGTTAGCCGCGTTTGATATAAACAACTCCGCGGCCGCGACTCGCCTAATCGCGTACGAGATGCGATAATCGCAAATCGCTATGATAACATTCTACAGCGGGAGTTTGTAGTAAACGAGATATTTGTACGAGAGCTCTTACATCAAGTTTAACGATAAATAATTATCCGTCGAATAACTCCTATCTCTGTCGTCGGTTAATAATTATTGATTAAGTGATGTTAATATTGCAGCAAAATGTAATATTATTTTTTACGTTATTATAGATCCTTAATAATTTTTTTGTTTAACGAAAAATCGATAGTTTTTATTTTTCACGCAAAACTCACGTGATCTTTTATTTTACTTATATTTGTGAAATAATTATGATGAATAATTATAGCCAAGTGCATAAAATTTATAATCATCAATCTGTAAACTTCGCTTCTTTATCCGTGAAAAGGTTATATAAAATTTTTATTTACAGTTGTAGTTTTGCTTTTACTTTTACATCAGCGTTTTTCGTTTATCTGGGTTTCGCTAGTACTTATCAAAGTCGTGTTACATTTTATGGCGTTGTCCAGATATAAATCTGGAAAATCCTAACAATGTATTTGCGGAACTTCGGTTCGCACGCTCGCAGGTGATTTCCATGATTCACAATGACTCGGCGGCGATGAGTTCCGCGGTCTTTTGCGAGCAGCGATAAGATTAGCGCGTTTAACAAGGCTGAATCTAATCGATAGCCGAGGTAAACTGTGCAATTCTATACCACCACGCGATATATACGCGTGTGTGTTTTGTACCCTCGACGGGCGGTTGGCGCAATGCGAAACTGCGCGTTGTCGTTGCCGCCAGTACGTTCACTTATCACGGAAGGCGGATTCGCGGCGCGCGAGAAGACGGGAGAATTTTTTTCTTTAATTTATATGCAGTCATATTTTTTTATCTTGCGGAACAGTTAGCCGCGCCGCGCCGCGAGTTTGCGCACCGTGGATTTTCTATTCGCGTCACTTTAACGAGCCTGATGCGATTTCAGCGCGCGTCTTTAATCACCGCGCGATGCACCTTTTGCGTATTGCACAGTTAGCTAGAAATATATTTGAAATTCTTTACTTTTATCTAAATATTTTTCCATTCTCTAATTTTACCTC